CGGGACTCCTCCCCACGGATTCAAAGCCACAACTATTTCAGGGGAGGGGCAGAATCCTTGTGGTCAGGGGAGGAGTCAGTTGCCAGGCGAGACAAAGGTAGCGTTCAGGGTACAGACTTCCAGAGAGACCCCACACACACCCCACCCCACCGTGCTGTCCCCAACCCGGATAGACAGACCTGCTCTTGGGACAGCAGAACCGTCTGGTTAAAGATCGTCCAGTTCACTGTCTGATAGCAAGGAGGGGTGGTCAGGGAACCGTTGTAGCGAAAATAGGAATTGAGGTTGTCAGGAAGCAGCTTGGCTATATCAAACCCCACTATCGAGGCTTCCTCTCCTGGGAAGGGAAAAAACAGCAACAAAACACTCTCACTGGGGTCACACACAGAGACGTTGAAAGACGTACACCAAAGTGGGACATCTTGAATGCTCGAGGAAGGGATGCAAGTAGCATGAGGTCTAAATATAGTGGGATTCAGGGGCATTCACGTGCTCCCAACTTTTAAAAAAAGGCAATTTGGAATGAACGAGCAGAAAGTTCAGTCGAAGGCAGTGGAGTGGGGAGAGGCGCTGGAATGCCTCTTTTGGCCTTCTGAAATCAGAACTGAAAGTCTCTCCCTGATGGACACCCAGGACTGGCATCAGGAGGACAGGTCTGACTCGAATCAGAACCCTGCCGAAGCCATATGTGGCTCAGTGGAGGACCCAGAAGCAACCAGGAATATGTGGCTTGTCCTGTGATGTTACTTCAGGGGGGGGGGGGTAAAGTATTTATTACCTGGGTGTTTTACTAGTAATCACAGAATCACAGAGTTGGAAAGGGCCGCCAGGGTCATCTATTCCAGGACCCTGTACAATGCAGGGGATTCACAAATACCTCCGCCCCGCACACGCACACACACACAACCCAGTGGTTCCTGCTCCATGTGTGTGGAGGTGTCTTGAGATGTCAATAACCTGAACCGTTTGCTCTGTAGGGTGCCTGGATGTTACTTGAGTATTCTCTATGCCTTCATCAGGTACAAGACATTACAAGGCCTCCCAAGGGACATCTGCGGTGTCGCAGAGGCTTCTGGGACACACTCCATTTCCTCCAGGAAGGAGAGTTGGGGCGGGGGGGGGGGGGACCACCAACACACACACACGGGCAGGCCAATTTCCCACTGCCTGGTGGGGGAGGTGGCCAGTTTGGTGTAGTGGTTAAGTGTGCGGACTCTAATCTGGGAGAACCGGGTTTGATTCCCCACTCCTCCACTTGCACCTGCTGATGTGACCTTGGGTCAGTCACAAGCTCTGGCACAGCTGTCCTTGAAAAAGAGCCGTTTGTGTCAGAGTTCTCTCAACCCCACCCACCTCACAGAGTGTCTGTTGTGGGGAGGGGAAGGGAAAGGAGTTTGTAAGCCGCTCTGAGACTCCAAGTGAATGGCGGGGTATAAATCCAATCTCTTCTTCTCTTCTTCAGAGGAGGGACCGCGGCACAGAAGAATGAGTGCTGAGTTCCCTCTGGGAGCTCATCTGCCCTCCCCCCCCCGCCAGGGGATGGGAGACAGGCCGGGAAGTCCCTGTCCAAGCCCAGGAGCCACAGGGGCGGCTCTTGTTGCCTGCTGGAGGAAGCAGAGTGGAAACTCTCCCTGGGTCCCTCCGGCACTGCCGGTCCCAGAGTGTGTGGGGGGGAGGGAGGGAGGGAGGGTTGGGGGGCAGGATGAGGAGGCAGTTGTGGGTCACCAGTCAGGGAGGCATGAGAAAGCTTCGTCCAGCCAGGGGGTGGGCAGGTGCCAAAGCCTCGAGCCAGCCTGGGGTGTGCCCCCTCCCCCCTCCCCGTCCCTTTGCACTGCAGGTGGCTCCTTGGCCAGCAAGCGAATCAAGGAAGTTCCCCCCCCTTTTTTTACCTTCCTCATGGACCTCGTCCAAATATTCAAGGATGTGTTGATAAGCCTTGTTTTCCTCTGACCCAGCCTGGAATAGCAATTGAAAGGACTCATGAGAACCGCTGTGTGTTGGTGTGGGTCGGTCCTGCAGCCTGGGGGCCAGTGGGCTTTTCCAAGCAGGAGCCAGGGGTCACCCCATGACCTCCAAGCAAGGTGCAAACCACACGGCATGGCCGCTCCTTCCCTGCCCCACCAGCGTCACCTGGAGAAATGCAGCCAGCACAGCCAAGCCTCCTGGCTCCCTCGCCGCCTCCCTGATGCTGCCAAAGTGGGAGTTGTAATGGACAATGTGAATCTG